ACGTTTCCCATTATGGGGACAGACAAGCTGCGTCAAGGAGAATTACATAAACATACATTGTGCCAGGAGGTCACAGAAAAACACGTCATGACTGTTAATCAGAAGTAATTACAGGCCAGTGAGTCTCACTTCTGTCACAGGCACCCCAACTGCCCTGATATAAGAATCCTGCCCCCAGTGCCCCACATCTATGGACACTAGCATACAGTCCCCAGGTAGGGCATCGTAGTGCGTCATTAGACGTCCTGCAGCATTCTCTGTATCCTACGTTGGGGACCAGTCTGAGGTCTGTCAGCCTGGCGTGCTCGCGTTGTTACTGGCGAAGGCCCCCAGGGTTTATCTACCCGCATCCCAATCTCATAGCTCCCAATGTTAGGAGAAATGACATATAAAACGTCTTCTGAAAACTGGTGGAGACATGTCTTTTAACACGTTCGAGCACTTTAAAAACATAAACCTGCGTGTCCAAATAGCCGAAAAGGAAACAGTCTCAATTTAGCCAGGTTTAAGCCCTTAAGGACACAACTTCAGGGATTAAAGGGAATCATGACGGAATATTTCCTCATGTGTCCTTAAGGATTTAAGCTATTTCAAATTCCTTTAGTTCTGGGCAATCCACACTTAGACTGTGTCAGAATCAAACTACACATCAATCACGTCCAATAAATATACTACATAGCTCAGACCATCGTTTAATTAGAAAGATATTTCTTGTTAATGAGAACTAACTGCACAGGTTGGTATCAGGTGGACGAGGTACTGGTGATAGGCAGAGAGAAAGGCTTGTTGTCCCTGGAGACGGTGTGACAATGACATTAATCGCTCCCATCGATTAGTGCACTTTGCTAGGTGAAGATTCTCATGGGGCCGGACCTGTAAAGAAGCAATATGATTGGTCAGGCTGTACCAGGACCTGAAAATAATGTGTAATTCACCCATTTCTGGCGCTGTCTGCATTACTGTGAGATTTCATCATAAACTGCTTTAACAATTGAAACTGCAAAGAAATAAGAAAAATAATACATAAGTTGCTGGTTTGGGAAAATTCATTTTACTGTAAGACACTGTTTAGGAAATAAATCCCTTGTGTTTTATTCAAATTTCTCATTTAGGTTATCTGCACATATTTTATTATTGCGTTCCGTGAGGCCCCTCTGCTGTTAAAATGGCGATATATTTGATTCCGTTGGCCCCACCGCTGTTAAAGTGGAGATTTATTTGATTCTGTTGGCCACTCCGCTGTTAAAATGGCGATATATTTGATTCCGTTGTACACTCCGCTGTTAAAATGGCGATATATTTGATTCCGTTGGCCCCACCGCTGTTAAGGTGGAGATATATTTGATTCCATTGGCCACTCCGCTGTTAAAATGTTGAAATATTTGATTCCGTTGGCCCCACCACTGTTAAAATGGTGATAAATTTGATTCCGCTGGCCACTCCACTGTTAAAATGGCGATATATTTGATTCCGTTGGCCCCACCACTGTTAAAATGGTGATATATTTGATTCCGCTGGCCACTCCGCTGTTAAAATGGCGATATATTTGATTCCGTTGGCCCCACCACTGTTAAAATGGCGATATATTTGATTCCGCTGGCCACTCCGCTGTTAAAATGGCGATATATTTGATTCCATTGGCCCCTCCACTGTTAAAATGGCGAGTCCTTTCATTCCATTAGGAGACTGTAAAGTAATCTTGCAGTCTGTGTTATATATAATACACACATTACACCAGATCAACATGTCATTTGTGTTAATTATTCCCACTTCAATAACATGTGGTAACAGAGCGAGCAGGAACTCATGTTGTGGTGAACTAATGGCAAGGGAAAGTAAGTTTCCGGTGAGGTTTGTCTCTGCGCTCTATTCATAACACAGACCTGGGCTCAGGTTATATAATAAGACAGGAAGGAATGCAGTGGATCCACAGGAATGTGAGTCAGAGATATTTATTGGCAGATAAGAGGTTATTAATGGCTCCCAGTATCAGTCAGGATAAAGTACAGTATGGCAGGCTGTCACCATTACATCATATGTGGACACACCATCAGCAACCATGAACCAGCACCCCCAATCCCATGTTATTATGGGTGAAGTCTGGCTGAGAGTCATAGGACTACCGTCTGTAGCATCTTAAATATAGGGATCCCCGAACTCTAACTCCACACTAAAGCCAAACCCCTCCTAGCTCTAATGTACAGCACAGAAAACACTGCCGGACTCTGTGTTATTACAGCATCCCAAACAGGGAGCTCCCTCCAGACTACAACTCCCACTGTGGGAGGAGGGAAAGGGTTAAATGCTCCGCTCTAGGTTACTAGCCTAAGGCCTGGGTGGTGAATGAGAAAATAGTCTTCTCTTCTCAGATTACCTGTTACGGTTAGAGCTGTGAGAACAATCATGTCTCCCTGGGCTTATTCTAAATATTCAGGCTGATGGGCAAAAGAAATTTGAATTCCTAACACTATAGTGCCCTAATCACCGTTTAGGTTTAAAAAAGGTGACTTTACTTACTTTTTCACTTGCAGTGCCAGTCTCTTCGGTGAAACTCCACCTCTTTGGCTGCGATCATCGAGATTGATAATCTCAGCCAATCCAACCATTTCCCATAGGAAAGCGCGTGTGAGGCAAAGCTTTCAGAGACCACCTGATTTAAATAGCAGAGTGGATTGGATTTCTGCCTCCTTCAGCGTCATGGCGATCAGGGAACCTAATTCTCATGTATGGCGAGAATCGCAAACGCACTGGGCCGTCCCCATAGGAAAGCATTGACTCAATACTTTCCTATGGGGATTTAGAAGACACTGGATGTACTCACGTCAAACACCGTATAAATCGAGGAAGCGTCTCTAGTGGCTGGCTGTAAAACCTCGCTTCC